GACATTCGAATAGATGAGACGCTCTTATGACATGAATCAGCCGGTGCGTAGATTTCATCATCCCCAGCAGTTCCAATATGAAATGGCAATCACAGCTCATTATACGGCTGATCGATGGCTCCGCGACTCTGCACTATGATTGCTGTTTGCAGCTGTTCTACGGCCAAGCTGAGGCTTTCCCATACTAGGGCCTGGCGAGGGAAGCGCTAGAGGGATCTGAGGCTTACCGGAAAACACCGGCAATTATATAAGTTAAAGCTCACCTCCGGTCTTCTCTTCAGTTTTGCACAGTTGTAGCGGCTCCTCTTCTAGACTGAAATGGTTTACTCCGATTTAACTGCACACTGTGAGCTTCTCACAATGTGCATTAGAAGCCGCAACAAGTCAGGCAGAGCCCGTCTCCTTTCCTGGTTGGACATCTAGCATCATCTAGTTCTTTCTTCCCCAACCTGACTGTCCCCGGCTCACCTCATTCATTCATTGAATTTTATTATACAAATTATTTTAAATGTAATTTTTGTGCAATAAAGGCAGATTGGGGGGGCTGTACACACAGTAGAAGCTGCTGCTACTGAGCACAGTTGGAGTGGGGAGAGAGCACTGCACGTGCATGCAGTCTGAATGGCTCAGGGCTCTCTGTGAATAATTAACCTCCCTAGCGGTCTGATTATGTCCATATTTCTGTGCTCAAAGCAGTACATTTTTTTTCATGGAAATATGTATTTTTTTTTATTGTAGGCCTGTAATTTTTAGCAATAACACTGAAGTCTGTCCAAACAAGAGTCTAGTAAACATCCCGGGTATGTTAAAATTTGAAACACGAAATCATAAATTATAATTTAATTAACAATCATAAAAAATAATAATTTAATAATAAATTTCAATCAATAATAAATTAAACCAAAAACACTGAAATGTGAAATAGAGCGCCAAGTTCGCACATCACTGAGCAAAGTCACAAAATCGTTTTCAGTGTCTGACGAATTTCCCCCACGAATCATTATCACTCAATTCTGCAAGTGGTTCTGATTTACTATCGCTGTTCTCTAGCCGGTCTAAAACCGCTTTTGATCTAAAGGGACGATTTTTGGACGCCATGGACGTTTCTCAGTTTCCAGGCAGAAAGAACAGTAAAAATGCAGGCAGGGCACAGGACAAAGCGATCCCGGAGCAATGCTGCAGGGTATTCCCGAGTGTAGCTCGGGGTTACCGCTTGTGGTGCTGAAACTTTACCCCGAGCTACACTCAGGAATACTGCCAGGGAGGTTAACACGGACTGTGGGAAAGTAGAAGAAATTGGCAGGGTCTAGCTGAGACTAAACTAAGTAGCACTAAACAGGAGGAGAAGACAGAGGAAGATACCAAAATCCCATTAATAAACAAGTTGCAGGGCTCAAAACCGCCACTAGATGTCAGCATACAACCAATAAAGTAACCTCTAGCAGTTCATTCCAAGACATAAGAAATTCATGAAAGTGGGGCAGAGTGGTCCCCTGAACAGCTGCATCTGTAATGGGAGGACATGCAATATTTACAACAGGGTAAGCGCTGGTATGCACTATTCCAAGGATATAGAATTTCATTTTTGGAAAAAACCTTTCTGAAGGTGTACCTATACTTTAAAGCTGGACTCCTGCTCAAGACTCCTATTACTGTGCATCCAGTTGTGAGATTTAGTCATAGGCAGGGGCGGACTGACCATTTGGAAACTCGGGCACTGCCCTAGGGCCCGGGGTCAGTAGGGGGCCCCATGAGATACCCCTGGTACCTTTTTCATAGGCTTTTTTTTTGAGTTTGGGCAAGGACACGGGCCCCATGATCCTCTATTGCGCGGGGGGTCCCATGAGTTGTCAGTCCGCCCCTGGTCATAGGCCCATTTGTCAGGAGAGAGAATATTTCTCAGCTGCAGTTTCACTTTCAGATCCCCTCCCCACCCTCGCCTTTTAGAAAGGAGGAGCATCACTTTGATGAGCTGAGCTCTCTGTCACTCTGCTCTCCCCTCCTCTCAGCATGCAGCAGTTTGGCTCCTTGTGCTGCTTTTTTCCCTTTTCCTCTCTGAGCTCTCCTGTATAGAGATTTCAAGGGGCTGATGTCAGGTAAAATGCCGGTACTGCTTCAATGTTTGAAAAATTTGAAACCTCTCTTTCTCAACCTAAATCTGCACGCCATGCAGAGGACGAGAACAATGTTGCGTTGCGGAAGAGGCGGCCTGTGTTGGAAGTCCTTCCACTTATGTCCTGTGAAGAGCCAAACAAACAATACGAGAGCAGTGGAAATATCAACGTTATCGGTTTTTGCCTGCAGACGTCAGAGCGAATGACTTGCTGCTGTAAACGCATTAAACTTTTTTTTTTTTTTATCAGCCTGCCGGCTTGGAGAATATCCTTGATAGTACCGCGGAGAGTGAAACGTGCGTCACTGACACTGATCTAAAAAACAGTGAGCTGTGCAGCGGCCGATGGGGAGTCGGGGAATGGAACGCACAAGGAGCTCACAGGAGAGTCAGCCTTGAAGATGCCAGATTATGAGATAGCCGAACCCTCTTGGCTGCAGAGGCGAGGAGCTTGAACGAGAACTCAGCTGACCTAAGAATGTGTCTGAACCAGCCGTGGTCAACTTACTGGATATGGAGGGCCTCCAGTGTGGCCCCTTACATCACCAAAGGGCCGCACATAGTATACAGCAAATGTAATGCTACAGGTGGCTGTCATGCAACAGGCAATGGTCAGGCACTATGGGCATGTTACAAGAGATGGTCAGGCACTATGGACATGTTACAAGAGATGGTTCGGCACTATGGGCATGTTACAAGAGATGGTCAGGCACTATGGACATGCTAAGAGAGAGGGGCAAGCACTATGGGCATGCTAAAAGAGATGGTTGTACGCTATGGGCATGGTACTAGAGATGGTCATAGACCATGGGCATACTACTAGAGATGGTCAGGCACTATGGACATGCTACAAGAGCTGGTCAGACACTATGGGCATGCTATAGCAGATGGTCATAGACTATGTGCATGCTGCAGAGATGGTCTTAGACTATGGGCATGGTACTAGAGATGGTCAGACACTATGGGCATAGTACTAGAGATGGTCAGACACTATGGGCATAGTACTAGAGATGGTCAGACACTATGGGCATAGTACTAGAGATGGTCAGACACTATGGGCATAGTACTAGAGATGGTCAGACACTATGGGCATAGTACTAGAGATGGTCAGACACTATGGGCATAGTACTAGAGATGGTCAGACACTATGGGCATAGTACTAGAGATGGTCAGACACTATGGGCATAGTAGTAGAGATGGTCAGACACTATGGGCATAGTACTAGAGATGGTCAGACACTATGGGCATAGTACTAGAGATGGTCAGACACTATGGGCATGGTATTAGAGATCATCAGACACTATGGGCATAGTACTAGAGATGGTCAGACACTATGGGCATGGTATTAGAGATCATCAGACACTATGGGCATGCTACAGTAGATTGTCATAAATTATGGGAATGCTACCAGAGATGGTCATAGAATATGGGCATGGTACTAGAGATGATTAGATACTGTAGACATGCTACATGGGATTGTGCAAGCCCACTGTCACCCCATCCCAAAACAAACAATATAAATAACAATTTAAAATAATAAATACTTATTCTTTACTCCTGCACTCCCAACGCCTGTGCTCCATGTGTTACTCCCTACCCCTGCACTCTGTGTTCCTTACTCCCGATCCCTGCTCTCTGTGTTCCTTACTCCCGACCCCTGCAGTCTGAGTGTTACTCCTAAACCCTGCGCTTTGTGTGTTACTTACTCCTGAACTCTGTACGTTACTTGCTCCTGAGCCCTGCACTCTGTGTGGTACTCACTTCTGATCCCAGCATTCTGTGTGTTACTACTCCTAACCCTTGCACTCTGTACATTAGTTACTCCTGACCCTTACATCATGTGTATTACTTAATCAACAGCTGCAAGTTTGCTTTTTTTTTTGCAAGAACATGCTGCTGGCTGTAGTGTAGAAATGATCAGATGGCTTTTAAGCTGCCCAATCACTTCTACGGTGCTGTTTTGTATGAGATCCTGGCTCCTACCCCGGCCTTTATCCGTGGTCTCACATACGCCCATAACATACACAAAGATTATGCAGAGCATGCTGGGGATTGCTACACATGCCGGAAGGAGAAGAATAAATCTAGGGCCATCATTTATGGGGTAACCTTACATCGATGGAGTCTTTTAAGCGTGATGCATAACGCATCGGATGTTGTCGTTTGTTGCTGCGTCGCGGGTGCACACACTTTTCAGCCTTGACATGTTTGGTATCTATTTACTTTACTCTTACCTCGAGTCTTATCTTTATATCTTTCATATTTGGGGGTTGTTATTGTGTTTGCACTGCAACAAATGTTAGTATATTTTTTTTTTTTACTAAAAATATAGATTTGATAGACAGCTGAGCTAATATTGTGTGACATAAAAAAAATGCTACTATGTTTCATTCTGTAGGTCCTCTGCTTTCCGTAAATACATAATGCTTTGTGTGCGAAAAACAAGACTCTGGCAGCCACATGGTTTAAGCCCCTCCCACTGGTAGTGCAAATTGGCCACAACAACCATTCAGTGCGGCATTTGTATCAGGCTGCTATTAGCCCCACCCCCAATTTTGCCGTCTGTTCCACCCCCATTCTCCCCTCCATCCCACCCCCATTCTCAGGTCTAGTGTGATTTTTTTACTAAAATAATTGCATTTCCATGTTCTGTGTACTGTGGGAGACTGGATATAGTGAATGCAGTGTCCCAGGAGAGCAGATATAGTGAATGCAGGGTCCAGGGAGAGCGGATATAGTGAATGCACGGTCCCGGAGACCGGATGTAGTGAATGCAGGGTTCGGGAGAGCGGATATAGTGAATGCAGGGTCCGGGGAGACCAGATATAGTGAATGCAGGGTCCGGGGAGAGCAGATATAGTGAATGCAGGGTCCGGGGAAAGAGCGGATATAGTGAATGCGGGGTCCGGGGAGAGAGGATATAGTGAATGCAGGGTCCAGGGAGAGCGGATATAGTGAATGCAGGGTCCGGGGAGACCGGATATAGTGAATTCAGAGTCCAGGGAGAGCGGATATAGTGAATGCAGGGTCCGGGAGACCGGATATAGTGCATGCAGGGTCCGGGGAGAGCAGATATAGTGAATGCAGGGTCCGGGAGACCGGATGTAGTGAATGCAGGGTCCCAGATATAGTGAATGCAGGGTCCTGGGAGACCAGATATAGTGAATGCAGGGTCCTGGGAGACCAGATATAGTGAATGCAGGGTCCTGGGAGACCAGATATAGTGAATGCAGGGTCCGGGGAGACCAGATATAGTGAATGCAGGGTCCTGGGAGACCAGATATAGTGAATGCAGGGTCCTGGGAGACCAGATATCGTGAATGCAGGGTCCAGGGAGACCGGATATAGTGAATTCAGAGTCCAGGGAGAGCGGATATAGTGAATGCAGGGTCCGGGAGACCGGATGTAGTGAATGCAGGGTCCTGGGAGAGCAGATATTGTGAATGCAGGGTCCTGGGAGAGCAGATATAGTGAATGCAGGGTCCGGGGAGACCAGATATAGTGAATGCAAGGTCCGGGGAGACCAGATATAGTGAATGCAAGGTCCGGGGAGACCAGATATAGCGAATGCAGGGTCCGGGGAGACCAGATATAGCGAATGCAGGGTCCGGGGAGACCAGATATAGTGAATGCAGGGTCCGGGGAGACCGGATATAGTGCATGCAGGGTCCGGGGAGAGCAGATATAGTGAATGCAGGGTCCGGGAGACCGGATGTAGTGAATGCAGGGTCCGGGGAGACCAGATATAGTGAATGCAGGGTCCTGGGAGACCAGATATAGTGAATGCAGGGTCCTGGGAGACCAGATATAGTGAATGCAGGGTCCTGGGAGACCAGATATAGTGAATGCAGGGTCCTGGGAGACCAGATATAGTGAATGCAGGGTCCGGGAGACCAGATATATGTGAATGCAGGGTCCGGGGAGACCAGATATAGTGAATGCAGGGTCCTGGGAGACCAGATATAGTGAATGCAGGGTCCTGGGAGACCAGATATAGTGAATGCAGGGTCCTGGGGAGACCAGATATAGTGAATGCAGGGTCCTGGGAGACCGGATATCGTGAATGCAGGGTCCAGGGAGACCGGATATAGTGAATTTAGAGTCCAGGGAGAGCGGATATAGTGAATGCAGGGTCCGGGAGACCGGATGTAGTGAATGCAGGGTCCTGGGAGAGCAGATATTGTGAATGCAGGGTCCTGGGAGAGCAGATATTGTGAATGCAGGGTCCTGGGAGACCAGATATAGTGAATGCAGGGTCCTGGGGAGACCAGATATAGTGAATGCAAGGTCCGGGAGACCAGATATAGTGAATGCAGGGTCCGGGGAGACCAGATATAGTGAATGCAGGGTCCGGGGAGACCAGATATAGTGAATGCAAGGTCCTGGGTTTAGTAACACTTTAAATCTGACTTCCAGCCTTCCCTTCCATCTTGCACAATTGTACCGGCTCCTCTCCTGTATTGAATTTGCTTACTCGCAATGTGCATTAGAAGCTGCAGCAAGTGAAATGGAGCCCGCCTCATTTCCTGGCTGGAAGCCCCTTTCATCCACAGTCTGTGTGGCCCTGACCCTGACCTTTCATTCATTGGATTTCAGTTCAATCATGGAGACTCAGCATCAGGTTTGGGCATTACTTATGCAACCTGCCTATGAACACCAGCTCCAGACTGACACCCACCCATCAATGCATTTTATATTTGCATAACTCCTTTCAAGAGGCAGCCCACTGCTTGTTTCAGTCCTGGGGGCTCTAAAGAACGAAGTACTGATGCATGGTGCTGTGAGGTTTTCAGAAAGTTATGCATAGAGCAGGGGTGGACTGACCATTTGGAAACTCAGGCACTGCCCGAGGGCCCGGGGTCAGTAGGGGGCCCCATGAGATGCCACTGGTACCTTTTTCATAGGCTTTTTTAGTTTGGGCAAGGACACAGGGGCCCCATGATCCCCTATTGCCTGGGGGCCCCATGAGTGGTCAGTCCGCCCCTGGCATAGAGAGAGGAAGGGATATAAAACATAAAGTGCCAACATCCCTAACAAATACAAGGGGGGGAAAGTCCTCTTTTTCGGTGGGACTATAACGGCACAATTTACTTGTATGATAAATTTCAACAATTCAAAAGAGATTCCCTTCACGAAACATTTGGGCGGCATTTTTCATCCACTGGTCTCAGTTTTTTCTTTTATTAATTTTTGTTTCATCATTTTTGCCTGAGATGTATGAGATATCCGTGGCTGTGTTCACAGAACAATTAGTTTTTAATATTTCCTTGCGGTTTTTACTTCACATGGAATCATTTAAGTGTATAACCATATTGTAAAGTATCAAATTGTTTACAGTAAATTGATTGCATCATGTGTATATATATATATATATATGTGTGTGTGTGTTTGTTATAGATGTTATGCCCCCCTTGAGCACTTCTGAAGAAGAGATTTTTGTTGATCTCGAAACGCGTCATGTGCGAACCATGCATGATTAGATTTGCAATACCATCTCTGATGACACCGCCGAAATATGTATTGTAACTTTATATTTATTTTTGAAGATTGTAAAAATAAAATTTCTTACTGTTTTTATAAAAAAATCTCTTTTGAATTGTTGAAATTTATCATACAAGTAAATTGTGCCATTAAAGTCCCACCAAAAAAGAGGACTTCCCCTCCCTTCAGAAAGTTATGCACAGCACCCTCTTGGCCGCTCTCACCAGCCATGATTTGCCCACATTGCATAGAAAATCAGAGACCCAGTGATAACTTTGTTAGGTCTAAAATAAGGTATGTAGTGAAAATTGAAAGAATTTATTTTAAAAATGTCATTAACATGTTGATGAAGGGGAATAGGAAGAACCAAGGAAGGCAAATTTAAAACCGGATTAAACTTTAGCTTCAAGTTCGGCTCTTCTGCAATGCAGAATTTTGTAATGATCAGGAGCCCCTGTAGCCAGGATTTGGTTAACAGCCCCCAAGCCGCACGTCACTTTGCTACAGGGTCAGCAGTTTGTCAGTTCGGTCATTTTGGGAACATTGTGTGCGGCATGAGAAACGGCAGAGTCCAAGAAACTTTGTTAGTGTCACATTTACAATGCCGGCAAGGGGTGACTTCGGGTTTTCTGCCATGGCTGATGGAGGGGCCCCTGTCTTCTCATCTATTTCCTTCGCTCAAGTTCTGCAGAATGAGAAGCCCTCGGTGTGGGAGTCAGTAGAGCAATAGTGTCCTCGGATCCTCAAGAAATAGTTTCATGTTCCGGCCTAACGATCTGGAGGAAAGCCAAATGTTTGGAGTGCCTATACTAGGAGGACGGGGGGGGGGGGGGGGGGGGGGGGGGGTGGGCATTCGTTACTTTCATTTGCTGCCATTGTTTGGTGGGGAGTTAAAGGGAAATGCCCATTATTCTGAACAAATGCAAATTGTTAAATACACATTAAATACTTTGATTTGAACTCTAGCCTTTCCCTTCCGTCTTGCACAGTTTACAGACTCCACTTCTGTACTTCATTGCATACTGTGGGCTTCTCACAATGTGCATTAGAAACTGCAGCAAGTCATCTAGAGCCCACCTGATTTGCTAGCTGGAGGACATCCAGCATGTTCTTCCCCAGCATGACTTCCCTTGGCCCACTTTTTTCATTCACTTGATTTCAGTTCTTTTGGTGGTCACCTTTATCAATGCAGGAATATCTCCTTCCTTTTCCTCATTTATCTAAGCCCTCAGTGCCCATTCTCTCATCATGGGCACCCTAGGCGTCTTCCACAGCAATGGACCCTGGCACTTCCCTGGCATTCAACAAATGGGGCGAGAGGAACCTCTTGTATTTACTCACGGAGTTAGTGGCAGCATGAAACAGGACTACCACAGGATCATCTGGGATTGGTAGCTGTGTTATCCACTCTATCATTTTCTGCACCTCTACCCAGAAGGGTTTGATAATGGGCCATTGCCACCATATGTGTATAAAAGTTTCCTCTCAAAAAGTCAGCAGATACCCTTACCAACGCGATAGTAATTTATAATGTTTATTGAATATTTGACTGTACAGAAGAGCTGTTGGCCAATGTAGTCATCCTAAAAATTAGGAACTCAGGAACAGACCCGTTCAGCTCCTTCCATTTCATAACATAATAAGAAATATCGTGGCACTCTTTCTCCAAGGCTCTCTGAGAAGAGGAGAGTGGTTTAGGTGTCCGTTTATGAACCAGCAGTAAATGATCGCTGCTCAGTTCTCTGGACTTCTCGGAGAACACAGTTCTCCTGTGAATGCCGTTTATGAAGCATATGTAGATCAGTTCTCCAAACGAAGGGAGAACGGTCTACAAACGCTGGAAACGGCTGATTTTTACTATAAACTCGCGAGATTACAGTAAAAAATCAGTTTACTAAGCAGAGGTAAATTATCTCTGCTTAGTTTGCGGTCCCTCCGATTCTCCAGCTCTGGGCTGGAAAATCTGGAGGGAGAACACAGATCTCCAGTGAAGAGCTGAACATGTTCTCCTGGGTGTCATAAACTGTAAATGACCAGAGAATAGCTGTGATCCTCTGAATCGCAGCTATTCTGTGTGTCATAAACGGACACCTTAATCAGCTCATCTATCAGAGTACACAGGGTTTCAGATGGGGAAAGCTCCCTGATCTAAGCTGGCCTCCCTGACTTCTTAAAAAGCTATATGGATAAGCATGCTTCCAATAATCCAGTGACAAGTGACCCCATTAAATACGAAATTCCTTCAGGAACTTCTAAGATCTGTAAGTTTGGATTGGGAAAGTCGATTGACGATTCACCTTTGCCCTTTCCTTATTCCATTGCCATCTACAGAAGAGGTGTGGGCCAACGTGATCTAGAAAAAACTGGGACTCAGCTCCTTCTCTCGGTCTCTAATATAATAAGGGATAGCCTGGCAAGAACAATTCAAAAAGTTCTCCAAGAACAATCTCCGAAAAAAGGAGAGTCGTTTAACTAGCTCATCCCTCTGAGTACACTGGATTTCAACTGGGGTAAGAGAGCCCCTTGATCTATGCTGGCCTGTCTGACTTCCTAAAAAGCCGGAGGGATAAGCATGCCTTTAATTTTTCAATGAACAGTGACCCCATTCTCTACAAAATTCCTCCAGGGACTTCGGTCATCTGTAATTTTGGATAAGAAAAGTTGATTGACAATTCACCCTTGCACTTTCCATCTACAGAAGAGGTATGGGCCAATATAGTTACATTAGTTCCACTAATAAAAAAAAAAAGTTATAATCCTATACCCACAGTTGATTCAGAGGAAGGAAAAAAAAAAAAGCAAAGCATGATCCAATTTGCTCCTGCAGGGAAAAAAATTCTTTCCTGATCCCCTGAGAGGCAATCGGATATTCCCTGGATCAACTTTACCTATATATGTTCTATCCAGTTATATTCTGTGTATCCAAGAAAGAATCCAGGACTTTTTTGAAGCAATCCACTGAGCTGGCCAGAACCAACTCTTGAGGGAGTCTATTCCACATTTTCAGAGCTCTCACTGTGAAGAAACCTTTCTGATTGGAGATTACAATTCTTTTCCTCCAGATGTAAAGAGCGCCCCCTTGTCCTCTGTGATGACCTCAGGGTGAATAACTCTACATTGAGTTCACTATATGAACCACTGATGTATTTATACATGGAGATCATATCCCCCCCT